CGACAGGGGGTCGCCAGTCTCTGGCACTGTTATTTTGGGGGTCACGGGCTGAAAAGTTTGGGAAACCCTGCTCTAGGGGAGATCTGCATGGAGGAATGGGCCAAAATACCAGCAACAGTGTGTGAAAACCTTATGAAGACTTACAGAAAACGTTTGACCTCTGTCATTGCCAACAAAGGGTATATAACAAAGTATTGATGTAGTGACAGCAGGAAACAAACTAAGACGCTGAGAGGCTGAGTCCGGGCCTGTTTGCTGTTGTATGACACGCTAAGAAAGTACTCGCTGAGATCTGAAGCTCTGTTTCGTAGTATGGTAGTTTAATGAAAAAACTCGGTTCTCAGACATATACACTGTTGTAATCAAAGCAATTGTAATCTTGCGGTCAACAAAAAAGTACAACGGCCCCGTGTCACCCTCCCTTCCACACACCCCACACAAAATTACAGGCCTCTCATCTTTTTAAGTGGGAGAACTTGCACAATTGGTGGCTGACTAAATACTTTTTTGCCCCACTGTATATAAAGAGAAATTACATATCATNCCACACACCCCACACAAAATTACAGGCCTCTCATCTTTTTAAGTGGGAGAACTTGCACAATTGGTGGCTGACTAAATACTTTTTTGCCCCACTGTATATATATATATATATATATATATTAACTGTGCTTTTCCCCCCCAAAAGTTGTAAATTAAACAAGTGAAGTACATGTTATTTGATAAAGCCGTGGAGGGCGGTAGTTTATAAACCAAAGAGTAACCGCCCTTACGGGACGCTCTAATAAGTAAAGCGAACGCACCCGCAAGGACACCTGGCTTCCTATTGGTTGAGGGATTTTGACAGGGTTGTTACACAAAAGATTCAAGCGCACAGCAGAAATACGAGAGCAGACATTTGACGAGCGCACAGAAGCAGCCTGAGTGCGAGGAGAAGGTTTTAAGCTGGAACACAGGAAATCTGTAAGCAGCAATATATCTGAGTGCAAGCGTACAGTTTGAGCAGAAGCAGAGCAAATCTAAGTGCAAGCAGGCACTATTTGAGTGTGAGGACAGGGTTTGAGGGAAAGAAATACATATTCTGAACGTGAAATCAATTAATTATGCTCTCAAATTTAAAGACCACGCTCTTGAATAAAGATAGGGAATAACCCCCATACTGTTATCCATAAAATATTTTTTATTGATTTATTGATAGGTTTTGTGTTTTCAGTTGCACCATATTAATAAATAAATATGTATATAAACAAACATGATAGTAAAAATGTGAAATAGAAGTCCTAGCAGCCACAGGGACACAGCCTCTTAGAACTCGAGCAACGTCAAACCACTATCCAGTTGAGATCTGCTTCTTACCATGGTGAGCATCAGAGGGAGAATGATGGCAGGAATGAGGCCTTCGAAGCGGATCCCCATCAGAGAGAGCAGCGCTGGGCCGGTCTGACACACAACACATTCAGAAGAGTCAAAAGCAGAAGAAATCAATGATAATTCAACAGCTAATGTGTCTGACTGCAACACATACAGTATTTCATCGTGATATTATGGTGGGACACTCACCCTGACTCCTGTGAACTGTCTCCAAGTCCACACAAAGAGAGGAGACAGGCCGGAGACGATGAGCACGCTGGTGAAGCGTCTCTTTATCACCGCGGGGTGATCCCTGAGAACAGGAACAAGATCACACGTCACATGATCTGATTCAGCACACAGGACGGAGACACAGCTGTTCAGAAGTCCCTCACAGCACTGTAGTACCACCAAATGGTGATTTTTGTTTACACACTTTGCATTTATATATTGGATTAATCTTCTAAAAGACATTCAAAATATAATTAAAAGTTTAATCCTAAAAATCTAAAATAAACATATATATGTCATTAAACAAAACTACCAACGCTGAATGAAGTTCATACATCGTTCATGCCTGCTGTCTATTCATTGTACATTAAAAAATGAATTTAAACTGCGGTCGCAGATGTGCGCGCAGTGATGAGTGGGCCCTCGCGTCCGTGCGCCTGTCGGGGAGGGCGGCCGGTCGTCGAGGATCGATTTTCAAGGAGGCTGTCTGGAGGAGCCGTAACCGAGGATACACTGATTTAGAGGGGAGAGGAGTCTCTCTGGAGGAGCTATAACCGAGGGTACACTGATTTAGAGGAGAGAGGAGTCTCTCTGGAGGAGCTATAACAGAGGGTACACTGAAGTATTATCCGGAGACGATTTCAGCCAACAGTGATGTTTAAAAGAGGTGTGACGCATGGCTGGACTTATGTCAACGAAGCACAGCTCTGCAAACTGTTCCCGTTGTAATTATAAGTTATTTAAGATGATCAAATGTGCATCAGACTTTCTGCCCTTTACCGTTTGTTTACTCACTAAATCACATCTCCCCTGGATGTTAGGCTATTTATTTTTTAAAACAACTGCTTCCATTGTGAGGCAGCGTTTCCGCCAGGGTGGCGTCTTGCCGTCATTTGACGCCCTTATTCAGCTCGGGACGCCCTGAACTCGAGCCGATGGCGTCCACAAATATTAATAATTCGAGAGAAGATTAAGAGTTTTTATCGCTTAAAATGACAAAAAGGAAAAAGGACAAGGACATCCCACTGTTGGAGGGGCAAAGGAGTCTGGTGGGATTCTTTTCGGAGTATTGAAGATCGTTTCCCAGACATCGGCGGTGCCTGCTACAGGACAACACGGAACGTGCACGATTTGGACGCGATGAGCGGGGGGGTTTTAGTGGAGCACGAGCGTGAGCTGCGAGCACCAGAGCCTCGCAGCGTCGAAACTGAAGCTCCGTGGTACACTGTGGTAACATGAAGAGCTGTTTGGGAGCCGAAACATGCCGGCGCTTTAAGAGAACCGAGCCAAATGATCCGGCTCACTAACAGTATCTATAAGGGACGGCTCAAGTCAACCCCCCCCCCCCCGGCTCTCGGGGTGGACGCCCTCTCAGCCCCGGTCTGGCGGAAACACTGTTGTGAGGCGATGTTTACAGTGAGAACAGCTGCTGAGGTCAGTGCAGAAAGCAGAACAGTGTGTATAATATACATCGCTCAATAATATATGTACCAGGCCTACATTTCACACTTTATTTGTAGGCTTTAGGAGATATCTACAAATAAAGAGTAGGGTTAGGGAGTGTATAGGTGTCTGTTGTAATAAATATGCCGCCAGCAAAGGGCGTTGTTGGACTAACAGTAGTTGAGAGTGTGTGTGTGTGTGTGTGTGTGTGTGTGTGTGTGTGTGTGTGTGTGTGTGTGTGTGTGTGTGTGTGTCAGGCAGACAGGCAGGTCTCAGTAGCTTATCTGACATATAATTGGTCAAAAATGGTACATTCTCCGTTAGCCTACGAGCTCCCCGTTTGAGCGAAGGACTATTCCTTCTCAATGTAGCATGACATTGGATATGTGCTGAAGTTGTCCTGGATTGTAATTTTTCCGAACATTTCCCTAGGAGGAGTTTGCAAAAATGTACTTAAAATGCATGAAAAACGCACATTGTTGAATATGGCCAACTTCCTGGGGGGCGGGGCTAATAAAAGCAAATTTGAAATATGTCCGCAATCATAAGAGAAATTTGTATACAGCTTTTCGTGAATATCGGAAAAACTATATGCGAGTAGTTTGGAGTAATTTGGAGTAATTTGTGACATGTA